GGCTGTATCATACTTCTTTGGCTTTTTAAATTGTTGTACACAGACGGGCCTCACTTTCAGCTTGCCTTATTGTGAGTCAGGTGAGGTCAACCAGTTCTTTTGTGATGTCCCAGCTGTTATGCATGCCTCTCACACAGACACTTTTGTCAATGAAATTGTACTCCTAGTAATGTGTGGGTTTATCATAGTTGTGACAGCTACAATTGTCCTAGTCTCCTATGGCTACATTGTTGCTACAATCTTGTGCATACCTTCTGTTCAAGGAAGACACAAAGCCTTCTCAACGTGTACTTCTCACATCATGGCTGTAACCTTGTTCTATGGGACAGCTTTCTTTATGTATGGCCAACTTGGGACCATGGCTTCTCCCAACCAAGGCAAAGTAGTCTCTGTTTTTTACACCATTGTCATCCCAATGTTGAACCCAGTCATATACAGCCTAAGGAACAAAGAAGTCAAAGATGCCCTAGGGAGACAACTCAAAAAAATGTCTTTTTTCCAGTAAACACCCAGCAGTGGTGTTCAGTATGCAAAACGAATTCACAGGATTGTAAATTTTATTTCAGCCATTGGGTTGGATCCAGCCAGTTTTTCCACTCATTCTTGTCCAATTTCCCTCCTTGCTTCAACCCCTGTCCCACCTGGCTTTTGTACATACAGGTTACATGATCCCCAGCATCACCTGTTTTGGTGGCCAAAGGGGACCACTTCTTTCTTCGATACTAGCAGAAATTGTGGTTACAGCCAGCCCCTGCTATTTCAGATGGTTCCATTTGTACTTGATGAAACACGACCAGATATTTAAACTGTTTGTCACAGTCTGAGCTAAAGCACGGTTCTATTGAATGTCTATCACCTATTTTCTGCTCTTTTTTTCTTACATCCCTTCACTATTTTTGTCTTTCTTTTTGTCTTTCTTTCATGAATTGAGATGTTATTACAATCTCCTGTTAGATACGTTCCTTTAATTTTTATTCATGTATTGTTAAATGAGTTTCTGTACAGGTATAGCATTCCTATGTAACCATGCTAAGCTTTCCAATGGCTGTATTTTATATAAAGAGAAAACAAACTGCAGTCCTGCATAGCTTCACACACAGGTCCACACATGGTCACTCTCTCTCTCTCTTGCACATAGAAGGGACAGCTTCCTTTCTCATATTCCTCCACATGAAAAGGACTATTCTCTGCCTTAGGATTTGGAGACCACAAGCCTGCCAGGCCCAGCTTGGCCAAGAAATAAGTGTTAATGTATCAAAGAGGTGCTGTTAAGTCTGTCCAGTTTGGTTAGGCTTTTCTCAGCCTGGGTGTCTCCTCAAAGCTCTTCAATCACCATATTTTATTCATTCATTCATTTATGCCTCGATGACAACCCAAAGTGGCTTACATCACTCTCGTCTCCTCCCTTTCATCCTCACAACAACGCTGTGAGATAAGTTAGCCTGAGAGACTGTGACTGGCCCAAGGTCACCCAGTGAAATGCCATGGCATGAATAAGGACTTGAACCAAGGTTTCCCAGATACTAGGCCATCACTATTAGACCACACTGGCAAGCGGAGTAACCAAGTACAAAGGGAGATAGGGTGAAAGTGGAAAATATTCAATAAAACCAACTGGCACCCACAAATTTTGTCCCTGAGGGATAAGGAACCCCAGGAACAGGATTGGGAGGATATATTTCAGGCTACAGCAGGAAGCAGAAGGTGAGAAAAATGTGCTCCATGAGTGCAAAACCTTCTGCCTATGGAAAACCTCCAGGAGGGTCTAACTCCTCAGAATTATAGTTTACAATATACAAGGTGATGACCACTTCAAGGCCTGCCTGATTTTATGGATGGCCCTGGGTGGGGGTGGGGAGATGAAAGATACACTCTGGCCTTAGGGATTCCTTCCTGCCCTTAGGCATAAACATCCAGTTTTAAGAACTACAGGTCAGATCCTACCTACCAGCTTTTATGACTGGTCTTGGCCATTTCATCTTCTCATTATATTCCCCATCCTATGTGGCTTTTGTCCATGCAGGTCTCACAAAACCCAGCATAACTTTTTTTGGGGTGGCCAAAATATCCCCTCCTGGTTTTTGTTTACCAATGGAAAAGCTCTTGCATCTAACACTGTACCACCGGTGCTATATCAAGATGGAGCTCTTCCGCCAGGCCTTTGAGTAGGAGCTGTCGCCCTACTATACCCCCACTGTCATGGTATCTTAAAGGATGCACCGACGAGGCCCAGAGGATGAACCTAGAAAATGTAAAGAAGATGTTTGGGCACAAATATCATGGGAGTACCACCTGGAACTGTGTTGATTCCATCTTGGATTTATGATATCTGTAATTGATTGAGCACCGTTGTTTTTAAGTGTTGGATGTTCTTATTATGTTTTATATGTTTTAATTATGGCACGGCTAATTACCTTGCCCTTGTTAGCTGCCCTGAGCCCGTTGGGGAGGGTGGGATACAAATGTGAAAAAATAAAAAACATAAAAAAAATACTTCTACTGTTTCTTTGGCTGAGCAGAAGAACATTTCAAATTTAACATGAATTTTAAAGTTTGGTTGCATACAGTGGGGGAGATATAATTGATAATGATGACGGGAAACTGTGTCACATTTTTAATCTTGGAGGAGGAGAAAAAACAACAGCAGGACATTGTTCTCTTTAGGAGCTCCTACATCATGTTTCTCTGGAGACTGCGTGTCCTCCTTTGAGAATGGGTAGCTTTTTACAAATGCATAGACCAGGAAAATAATGTTGCCACAGCCCATTTGTATCCATGGTAAGTGCAGATTAACTTTACTGAGGGGGGAACTGCACAATCTTACAATTTCAAACCCTTTTCTAGAGTCTACTGTTGTTTATTAGAGGTCTCCCAACAAGGTACTGCCATGTACACTGATATTGGGGGGGGGATCCTGGGACAGCATTTTACTACACAACAGACAGCTGGAGACTAGATGTCCAATTTAATGGGGGGGCAGATTTAATATACAATTCACCAGAGAGGTCACAATAGAAAATGACCTGCTGTGTGAAAGGACAAAAGGGTTCCATTGCTGTAGTAAGTCAGTGTATATCGAACAGAGCAGTCCATGTAATAGACAGAATTTGTTACAAGGACTTCCCTTCGGCAAACTGTGACCAACTATAGAAGATAGTTGAGAAGAAATGCAAACTGCTGGAGAAATTTGAAATGATATCTTTTTCTCTGTGGTTGAGGTCAGGCCAGTTTGGCTGGGGATCCTGGAGCTTTTTTGCCATTTTCTGGGTGTGGAACAGCAGTCACTGGGGGTGTGGGGGAGGAGGTATTTGTGAATTTCCTGCATTGTGCAGGGGGTTGGACTAGTTGACCCTGGAGTCCCTTCCAGCTCTATGATTCTATGAGGTTTACAACTATGGAGGTTTTTTACATGTGAGTTAGCTGTGATCACTGTTAACATGTTCAGTTTAAATCACTGTGGTATGTTATTGTAATAAGGATACTAGTAAGTGACCAGGATTATCTGTTTGTTTGCTTGACAGCAAGTTACTATAGCATTCCCATTGCAAAGTCACAGGGATGTATCCTGCCCTCTTCTCCAGAAGTGCCAAGACTTGCTCCAGCACAAGGAGCTTTCTTCCATTAGAGGAAGAAACTGTTCACTGGAGGAAGATTCTACAGCTAGCTGAGTGAAGTGGTAGGAGAAAACACCATGGCTTGGATACCACCAAATTTTACTGTTAAAACTCATCAGTTTTCATCCTTACAGCAGTACCTGTCTCCTATGGCTTTTGTCCATGCAGATATGTGATTCCCAAAGAGGACTATCCATCCTTTTCTCTCCTCAAAACAAACAAACAAACATGTGTATTCTGTCTCTACTGCATGCATTGTGGGACATCACTGGATTGGAGCAAATCAGAATTGAGATAGGGAAAATGCCACTGAATGGTAATTACACTACTACCAGTTGCTTTTAGGTTTTTGTTTGTAAAAGATAGGAAAGCTTTCTGAATATGTTTGGTTAATGAAGGATAGATTTATTACTGGATTTTGGTATCAGATTTGACATTTTGACCCACTAAAATCACCATCTGTGTGTGTTTCTATTTCACTAAAAGATAGGGCTTCTCCCAGTTCTGGAGTGCAAATGTCATGCTGGTGAATTTAGAATTTGGCAAGTGAAAGTAGACTGCAATCCCTAGAACACTTTCTGGGGAGTAGGGTCCACTAAACAGGCTGAAGTAGGATTCTGAGTAGACTTCTTTAGGGTTCCTCTCTTACACAGTTGTGATCATGGAACTGTAAAACAGCTAACTGGGTTATTTTTAACATAACTTTTAAAAATTATGTCTAAAGGGTATTTGTTTACATGCTCCAGACCCATTGAAAGGTGCACTGTTTTTTGATATTCTTATACTGGCTATTACAAATGTATGGAAGAATTATGCAAAGGATGATAATCTAAAGCAGTGATACTTAGTCGTTCAGGAGCCACATGTTCCTCTTCTAAGAACTGTACTCCAATTGGGCACATGTCCCATGTTTCAAGGATGTGGGTAAGGCCATTAGCCAGTGAGGTGTGGTTCCCATCTTGAAACAGCTGCAGGCAGAGGAACAGGTAAGCTGTAAGCATCCCTGAGGTTCAATTCTGGGTGTAAAGGTGGCTCTTTTGGTTGATGGTAACATCAAATGTGGTCCTTTGAGACATAGAGTGAGTACCACTGATCTAAAGTGTCTTTTACATCTTACCTTTTGTGTAATATTAGCACGATTGTATTTTCAATTTTTAATATAGCCCTTTTCACTTTTGCAGTTACACTAGATTTCTGGCAACAGAATTTCACCAGCAACTGTACTTCTCATTCATGATAACATCAGACTGCTTATCAGGGTTATCTCCTCTGCCTTTGACATGTGATGTTTCCTGGATTGCATACTTAAGTACTCATGAAATAACTAATTAAATATGTTTTCTGGCAACAGAATCTCAAACCCATTTTTCCCCTTTGTTCAGAGTTATGGAAAACCACACCATGGTCACCGAATTCATCTTGGTAGGGTTTATGGGAAAGCTAGAAACGCAATTAGTTCTGTTTGTTCTCTTCTTGATAATGTACATTATCACATTGATGGGTAACCTTGGCATGATTCTTATAATTAATGCAGACTCCAAACTTCATACCCCTATGTATTTCTTCCTGAAGAACTTATCTTTCTTGGACATTTGCTATTCCTCAGTCATCACTCCCAAGGCTATGCTGAGCTTTGCAACGGGGAACAAAACCATTTCCTACAATGGGTGTGCAACCCAGATGTTCTTCTTCTCTCTTTTCGGGACCACGGAGGCTTTCTTTCTGGCTGTGATGGCATACGATCGGTTCATTGCTGTCTGCAACCCACTGCTTTACCATGTCATTATGTCCAAGAAGACCTGTTGTCTCCTGGTAGCTGTATCATATTTTTTTGGTTGTGTCAATTGCTGCACCCAAACTGGCTTCACGTTCACATTGTCCTTTTGCACACCAACTGAAATAAATCATTTCTTTTGTGATGTCCCAGCTGTAATGAAGGCCTCCTGTTCAGTTACTTTTGTGAACGAAATTGTGCTGCTAATGGTATGTGGGTTAATCATTGTGACCACAGGCACAATTGTCCTTGTATCATACGGCTACATTGTTGCCACCATCTTACACATACCTTCAGGCAAAGGAAGGCACAAAGCTTTCTCAACATGCACTTCCCATCTGATGGCAGTCAGCTTGTTCTTCGGGACAGTTTTCTTTATGTATGCCCAACCTGGAGCCCTTTCCTCTCCCAATCGGGGGAAAGTAGTGTCAGTCTTTTACACAGTGGTCATCCCCATGTTGAATCCCATCATCTACAGCCTGAGGAATGTGGAGGTGAAAGAGGCTGTCATCAGACAATTCAGAAAGAAAGTCTTTTCCTATTGAAACACGTGTTTTGAATGATCTGATTAGTTTCCAATCATTTTCTGCCCAGCTTAGTGAAAATGAGATGCAACCCACGCAGTCAAACTGCTAAATCTTGCTGAAGCCAATAGGATATTCTAAATGTGATCAGGATTGCAGCCAGTGGGACACAAATGCTTTATTAGACAAGTAGCCCGATACCAGTGCTTCGCTACAATATTTAAGTTCCGTAAATCCAGTTATAATACTGATGATGTGAAATTTGAAATGTGACATTTGTTGTAGGAATTCTAATGGAGAAGATTGTAGTGTAAGAAATGAAGTGAGACATACGTACTTTTTTCCTCTCTACTGAAGGACCTCTCCCTAGACCACATTGGAGGTTCTGCCCTCAGGTGCTAGGATCACCAGGCTGCTTGATGAGTTCACTCTGGAGCAGGCCACATAGAACTGTCCATTTAAGAAGCAGTTGTCTGTTAAGTCAACTCCTGCTACCTTCCACGAAAGTGATGGCCTCTCTACTTGTGTTCCTGGATTGTTTTGCTCACGTGGAGACTGTGTTGTTCTGAGCACCTCAGGGTGATCTTGCTGGTACTTGGCCTTTGCAGCTCAGTGCACTGCAGGAGTACTATGTGCAAATGTCTTTGCTGCATTCCTAAGTTGCCTCCTCCTTGTAGCATTGGCTCAATGTTTGCCAAGAGCTTTCTTGGGGGCAGTAAGAGTTGAGAGGTTGAGGGGGAGTTGGTGTGAGGGAGTGGTGATGTGGTGGACATTTCTTCAGGTTCATAAGGGAGGCATGCATCAAAATGGCTCCTAGAAAGTTCCTTTACTATCTCCCCATAAACATTCATACCCTGGCCCTGCTCCTACACCTGACAGACACCAGCCTCTCTGGTTATTTTGGGGGGGTTGTATTTAAAGGCATTGGGGAGGCTGGGCCAACAGCAGTGCTAAGGCAATCCTGCTGAGCAATCCTCCCCAGTGGCTGTAAGGATCCCACCTCCTCTCCTACACCTGACAGGCTGCTGCCCGTCCAGTATAGGATGGAGAAGGGGGAGGAGTATTAGAAGCCACTATGGAGGCATGGCTGGCAGGATCACTAGAGTGTTACTGCTGGGGCAGGCTCTTTCATGGCTTTAAGCAACCTGCAACCAGTGCTGCACCTGACAGACAACCGCCTGTTAGGTGTAGGAGGTAGGGGAGTGTCTTGGAAGCCACCAGAGAGGCTGGGCCAGCAGCATCACTAAGGTGATCCTGCTGGGGTGGTGTCCCTCATGGATTAAAGTACCCTGGTCCTGCTCCTGCACCTGACAGACACTGGCCTGTCTGGTCTGTGGGGGGTTATATTTAAAGGCATCAGGGAGGCTGAGCCAACAACAGTGCTAAGGCAATCCTGCTTAGCAAACCTCCCCAGTGGCTGTAAGGATCCCACCTCCTCTCCTACACCTGACAGGCAGCTGCCCGTCCAATGTAGGAGGGGGAGGGGGAGGAGTATTAGAAGCCACTGTGATGGGGCTGCACCTGACAGACAACCACCTGTTAGATGTAGGAGGTGGGGGGAGTGTGTTGGAAGCCATCAGAGAGGCTGGGCCAATGGCTTTGCTTCACCTCACAGGTGGTTGTTGGCCACTCCTGATTTCCTCAACTGTCATTAGCTCTCTGCAGTCCCCTGTAACTGGTTTTTTTTACCTCAGAACACTGAGCTCTACAGCTGACCAATCAGAGAGTGGGGGGTGCCGAGAGGCAGCTGCCTGGCAGCCGCATAGGAATCAATGGGGGGAACACATTTTACCCCTTTTGACCCATTTAGAAGTCAAATTTCTAAAAATTCCTTCTTAGTGAGCACCTATGCCATGGTAGGAGTGCTCTCCCTGAATTTGGTGTCTCTAGGTCCAGTGGTTTGGCCTGGACGTTGATTTTATGGTGAGGGGACTTTCTTTTATATAGATAGATGAATAAATATAGTCTTCCTGTTTACCATTTCCCATCTTCAGAATTGTTCTCAGCACTGGGTGAATGCACTTCCAACCAAATCATCTGGAGTAGCAATTTAATCTTAGCTTCTATACTGCATGCAAAGTTCTGTTCATGTAACCCTGTATATCTCCATTGTGCTCAAGAAAGTTATATATTTAATTCAATCCATGGGATTGGACGTTTCTTGCGTTATCTTTCTTTGAATAAAAGGGAAACACAACCTGAATTCCAGGATGTAATGTCATTGATATTCAAATTTATGAGTGTGTCCTCTAGAAAGGACAAGTGGGAACCTACAACATTTATGGGGGCAGGGATTCCCATACTACCCTTCCTGCAGTGTCACCACAACCATTACCACCCATCCCTCACTTCCCATGAATTTAGGGAACAGGGCATCTGTTGGGAGATCTATTGGGGGCCTGAATGGCATGGAGGAAGGTGGCTGGGTGGCCAGCCATGGTCAGCCTTCAGATACATGGCCACCTCTCAGTAACCCTCCCTACACCCAGAAGGAGCCCCAGAAGATCCTGGTGGTTGGAAAGCTTCCATGTCCTGAGCTGCTATCCAGACACTCAGTTGGGTGTTCCCTCACTGGTCAGCACTCATGGCACTTTGCCAGGCCTTTTGCCACTGCATTTTGCAGTGGCAAGTGGGCACAACAATGGTGCAGAGCTGTGCACTCAGCAGGGATAGGTTGGCAGTGAGCACATGTGGGAGCAGTATGCTGCTCCCAGAATGGTGGGTGGCAGCAGGGCCAGCTAAGCCAACACAATGTGCAGCTGAAGAAGAAGAAGAAGAGGAGGAGGAGGAGACTGGATTTATACCCCACCCTTCACTACCTGTAGGAGTCTCAGAGCAGTTTACAATCCCTTCCCCATCCCATCCCCATAACAGACACCCTGTGAAGTAGGTGGGGCTGAGAGAGCTCTCTTGAGATCTGTCCTTGAGAGAACAGCTCATCATGGCTGTAACCTTGTTCTATGGGACAGCTTTCTTTATGTATGGCCAACTTGGGACCATGGCTTCTCCCAACCAAGGCAAAGTAGTCTCTGTATTTTACACCATTGTCTTTCCAATGTTGGACCCAGTAATATGCAGCCTAAGGAACAAAGAAATCAAAGCTGCTTTAGGGAGACAACTCAAAAGAATGTCTTTTTTCCAGCAAACACCCAGCAAAGCTGTTCAGCATACAAAATAAATTCACACATTTGTCAGCTTTATTTCAGCCATAGGGTAGGATCCAGGCTGTTTCTCCACTCAATCTTGACCAGTTCTCCTCCATGCTACAACCCCTGTCCCACCTGGCTTTTGTACATCATGGTTCCATGATCCCCAGCATCACCTGTTTTGGTGGCCAAAGGGGACCACTCCTCTCTTCTATACTAGTAGAAAAGCTGGTTGTAGCCAGCCCCTGCTATTTCAGATGGTTCCATTTGTACTGCAGTACAGAAAAAACATGACCAGATTTCTTAAACTGTTTGTCACAGTCTGAACAGAAGCACAGTTCGATTGAATGTCTGTCATCTATTTTCTTCAGTTTTTTTTCTTACATTCCTTTACTATTTTTGTCTTTCATTCATGACTTGAGATGTTATTACAATCTTCTGTTGGGTATGTTCCTTTAATTTTGATTAAATTTGCCTAATTATATTATTCATGTATTGTTCAATGAGTTTCTCTTCAGATGTGGCATTTCTATATAACAATACTAAGCTTTCCATCTGCTGTATTTTGTATCTTTAGACATGAAAGAGAAACCAAACTGCAGCCCTTCTGCCTAGTTTCACACACAGTTCCACACATGGTCACTCTCTCTCTCTTGCACACACATATAGAAGGGACAGCTTCTTTTCTCATCTCCCTCCCCAAAATGAAAAAAAGACTAATCTCTGCTTTAGGATTTGGAGACCACAACCCTGCCAGGCCCAGCCTGGCCAAGAAAGAGGAGTTAATATGTTAAAGAGGTTCTGTTAAGTCAAGTCTGTCTGGTTTGATTAGGCTTTTCCCAGTGTGGATGACTCTGGCCTTAGGGATTCCTTCCTGCCCTTAGGCATAAACATCCAGTTTTAAGAACTACAGGTCAGATCCTACCTACCAGCTTTTATGACTGGTCTTGGCCATTTCATCTTCTCATTATATTCCCCATCCTATGTGGCTTTTGTCCATGCAGGTCTCACAAAACCCAGCATATATTTTTTTTTATGGTTGGCCAAAGTATCCCCTCCTGGTTTTTGTTTACCAATGGAAAAGCTCTTGCATCTAACACTGTACAACTGGTGCTATCTCACCTACTTCTACTCTTTCTTTGGCTGAGCAGAAGAACATTTCAAATTTAACACAAATTATAAAGTTTGGTTGCATGGGGGGGATATAATCGATAATGATGACGGGAAACTGTGTCACATTTTTAATCTTGGAGGAGGAAAAAAAATCAATAGCAGGAAATTGTTCTTTTGGTGCTGTTACATCATGTTTCTCCAGAGACTGTATGTTCTCCTTTGAGAATGGGGAGCTTTTACAAATATATAGACCAGGAAAAGAATATTGCCACAGCCCATTTGTATCCATGGTAAGTGCAGATTAACATTACTGGAGGGGAGGCGACGACAGCACAATCTTACTATTTCAACCTTTTTTCTAGACTGTTGTTGATCAGAGTTCTCCCAACAAGATAATGTCCTCTACACTGATATTGGGGGGGGGGGGATCCTGGGACAGCATTTTATTACAGGAGAGACAGCTAGATCTCCCATTTAATTTTGGGAGGGCAGATTTAATATACAGTTGATACTAGTGAGGTCGCAATAGAAAAACAGCCTGCTGTGTTAAAGGACAAAGGGGTTCCATTGCAGTAGGAGTAAGTAAATCACTTGAATTGAATCTCATCTCCATGACAGTCTTGCAAACTTTAATGAAAGTCTGAAGCTGTAAACCAAACGGCGCTGTCCATGTAATAGATACCATTTGTTATAAGGCCTTCCTTTCTGCAAAACTGTGACCAACTATAGAAGAAATTTGACAACTGAGAAGTAATGCAGACT